GCAACCTGAAATGTACCGAAGAAACCCTTAGATTCGCCTAATAATTATGCATTAGCCAATATTGTTTCTTTGAATTCGTTACTGATCTCTCGTAAAAAATCACACGGATCGACGATATTCAAATCAGCCAAGCTACTGTGAATAAATCTACTAACCATGTGTTTGCCTAAATTGTTGACCTTACACCTGAATTCAACATCTTGTCCTTTTAACGCCGTCACATTCGCCATCAGCGGTTCCAGAAATGTTGGATGCGGCTGTCTTCCACAAGCTGAATTTGATCAATTCACTTTCGGAAAATTTCGAATAATCAAGCAAAAAATCCATCAAATTTTTCCATGTTTCATTGGTAAATTCCTCCAGTTCCAGCATGCTTAATTCCCATTCAACATTTCAAAATTCTCGCATCGTTTGTCAGTGAATCAAGTATTTCCATGTGATATTTCTACTGAATCATATCATCATGAACACGCCACAAATGAACCTGATTCTTATGCTAACTGAAATGTCCCTGTTCATCTCAAATGTAAGCAAGCTTACCAGACATATTCATATGTTTACGCATCCAAATTGAATGCAAAATGAAAATCGATTCCATTTATTCGTTTGTTACTGATTCAAAACGATGTAGCCAATTTTGAAGGTTGTGAAGGAAATGAAATTTTTGGGTGTCATTTATGTATGAAGTGTTGCAGACAGGAATCTTTTTCGAATTGCATATGATATCAATATCCCATTCATCATTTTTACATAAGCCTACATATATAGATTGGAGATAAATTCATCCGAATGAAATAACTAAATAAAATCATCAAAATGTTACGTATTATTTCCTTGTGTACATCTTCGCACAATTCATTCACAACACTGCCGTCGTATTGTCCGAAATTGAATTAGCCACTTGAGATGACATTCACCGCGCAGTTTCTAGCAGTTAAGATCGTATTCAGAAAGTACGATCGGATTGACATTTTGCTTGTTATTATTATTGTTACTACTATTACTACTAGTCTTTCTATTGGTACGCAAAAGTTCGATGAATTCAATAGTTCATTTGATCTTTCTTTTTCCCTCTCACAATCAGTATCGTTGTTATCTCTTCAGAATTTCAACCAATAACATGACGAAACATCATAACAAAGAAACTATTATTACCACGAAATAAACAATGAACCCTGAAGAAACAAAGTCGACGTTGAAATCTGATTAT